TCACCAACTCAAATCAATAATATTAAAACAGGAAAGTGAATTTTAATACCAACGGGTAACTTGTGTTTATGGTAATTGTAAATCAATCCTTATTTTTCAATCAGTCAATCAGGTCTCAATGACTCGTGTCCCCACATGCACAGAAATGTCTCAATTAATGCCTGACTCATGTACCACATGCTCAGACTTGTCTCAATGACCCGTGTGTCCACGCGCACATAAATGTCTCAATGACTCATGTCCCACATGCTCCGACTTATCTGAACGATTGGTAGGCAGACAGATAGACAGATAGACGGACGGATGAACGGATGGGCACACAGACAACGAGCCAGCCAGACAGAAAGACAGGCAGACAACAGACAGACAGACAGATAAAGGAGTTTATTGATCAGCACCATTTGATGACTACAATTAATTGTATATGTTTATTTATCTATTCTATTTATTTATTTATATCTTCCTTCTCCTTGTTAACTTGCGCAAATCTCCTAGGTAGACGTTCCAATGCTTTGTGCAAATAACTAAAAATTCAGTTATGAAGTCTAAAAAGCTCTAAAATAAGTATGAATTCTAAAATGGAAAGATATAGATGAGCTGAAATCAGTTGTGTGAGTCTAAAGTCAGTCCGCTCATTTATTTACCATCATGTACCTTTAGCAATTTGTATAAGTTTGCAGTTATTGCGTTCATTAGTTTTTTTCTTGTTTTATTTATTTACTTATTCGTCTCTCCCGCAGTGATGGCGTCGCGGCCGGAGCTAGCGATGAAGTATCAGGCAGGCTATACGGAATGTGCCGCCGCAGTCTCTCAATTCATGGGTCTTTCGGGCCTGAGCCCCGAACTGGGCACGCGCGTCATGGGCCACCTCTCGGGGGTCATCACGAACCGATCGCCGCTGCCACCATCGCCGACGTCACTACCGTCATCGCCAACGTCACTACCGCCAACGTCGGCACCGTCAGTGAGGAGTGCGTACTCTGGGTCCGCTCGACTTCCGCTGGCGACAAAGCGTGACGTCATGAAGACGGGAAGCGGCGAGCGTGGCTTCAGTGCCGTTGCCATAACAGCAGGACCGCCTGTGCTACTGTGCAAACCTGTGCCCATCATACCAGAACTTATAGCCAACCCTGTGTACGCGAATCCGTACAAGAGTATGTTGCCCATGTGGCGGCCGTGGTAAACTCCGGCAGAGAAAAGAGACGCGCGCTCATCAGGGTATTAGATTAGAACACATCACGGCAGGGAACTGTAAATACATTACAGAATATATATATATATATATATATATATATATATATATATATAAATTGTGTATACTGTGTAAGATATTGTAAATATTGATCCGCATTTTATATACTACCATGTCACGTGATTGCAGGCGAAGTTAATATCGATATCGTACAGAATTCGTTGATGATAATGGAATGTCCAACTTACAAACATGATAATTATTCATCACCTATGTGCACATTTCCCGTGTGGACAAGTAAAACCATTAAGAGGTGCATTTTCGCACCACTATCACGCGAACAAATCTCGAGAAATGCCTCGAACACATTCCAAGAGTGCGCGCGGGTGCGTGCGTGCACACACCGTTTGTGGTTGCAGATAGACAGCCGCAAAAGCTCCTATCGCACACATTCCACCGAGTTTTGTATGTAGTGCCGATAAACGTGTTGCTGTTAGCTCGGCAACAACTCTACCTAGTCCTAGGTAGTTATTGCGGAGCGAAGGGTTACACAGTTAGAGCTAACAGGCTGAACAGCGTCCTCAATTCGCCGTTCACGACCAGTTAGTTATTCAACAAGAGAACTACGCATGTAATAATTCTGCTTTAATTTTTTACGGTCATTTGCCCAGATATCGATTAGCAAGCTGCCGATCAGTGCAGCCATAGAAGGAATGCCAAGTGCGGCAACGATATGTCGGTACCGTATTGTCGTCGCTATTGTTACAGTTACGTAATAAATGCTTTGTGTTTTGCACAACTATCGTTGAATGTTTTTAATACTACTGTATTATTAAACACGACCTACGATGTCGCGCATACGACGCGAACACAATGAGAACAACATCAACAATAATATTATTAACAACAGTAATCGCAAACATTGTTATTATCACGTTAAAACGCTGTTTGTCATATAATAGAAAGACGGTATACATTAAAACATACATAAAATATGAGACTTCTTGAACTATAGTTAGCTATTTGAAAACATCCATGTAAGCCCACAAATTACAGATTATAATTACAACCTGAACTTAAATTTACACAGTTAATGGAATTTAATTACACAATTATGAATTTATTGCACCACGGCATGGCAGAATGCACAAACCATATATATCTTTGCTTCGTTGTTAGATTAATCAAATCCTAACACAGATTAAACCTACAGTGGTAGGATTACAATAACATTACTGTCGTAATTATTCACTGGCTCATGATAAATAGTAATATTCGTTTTACCAATCGGTACCATGCCTGCAGTAGCTTCAAGAAACGGTTAGGCATTGCAAGTATTATTCTTACTGTCCCGGGTAAACCTGTAGTTAGGCTGCAGTTAGCCTAGACCACACCCAGAACACACATGGGTTATTTTTATATCGCATTATCACACATAACACAGCACATGTACGTTATGAAAATAAATGTATAGCACTGTAGCTATCAAGTAATTTTAGTATAAAATTATATACATCGTTTTTCAAACACCTACAAACAATTAAAGTGATTACGTCACCGTAAATAGTAAAAAATATAAGTAATTCTGTTCACTTTTTATGGTTAAATTGCTGCATTATAGGCCTACTTCTTATTTTACTATATTGTACGATGTGAACATACACTCGTGACGCATACATAGCCCATAGCAAGCAATTAATTTCAGGAACACTAATATCAAATCGTCCAGGTTTTTTTATTTTTAACTAGTTGAGAAACAATCTTATCAGGTAAGAATTTTACGATACGTTTAGTCCCGTTAGTTCTTACTTTTAATGTAAAAAAATGGCAACAAAAATTTTCCAAATTTTACCATAGAAAATTCGTGACGTAGTCAATTTAAGTATGAACGATATGCACTGTATAAGAGTGGCCTAGCTTCAAGAATCAGCCACGTGTTACACACAGGAGTGAATAAAAACAAATAATAATTTGTCTTTATTGACTCCTGATACACACCGGTCGAGTACGCGCATGCCTCTCTCCGACTCAAACGCAGCGGGCCACTGATCTACGTAGTAAATTTTTTATATAGCACCTGATACAGATAGAGCAGCATGTAGAAGCTGCTGCCATCTAGTGTCGGTTTAATTATCTCTCGAGTTTGGACATAATAAGTTCCCATTTTACCCAACTTGAACAGGTTGAAACTGTGACAGTAACATTTTCGTTTACACGTCACTGAAATAAATCCATAATAATCAAAAAAACGTAAAAACTTAGCCAAGACTGATGAATTTGTATTATTTCTTAACCCTGACAGGCCAAGCATTCCTCTTTGTCTTACAAACTGCTTGTAAAATTCCAGAATAGAACCGTTTTTTAAGATACCTATACATTCAGGCGACAAGGTCCGGGGAAATAAGACTATATAGAATTACTGGTAGAATTGTTATCTCAGTCGAGAGTATATCTTAAAACTGCTTCATTCCTAAATGAACTCAATTAAGCCATCAATGGTAAACACCACAATGCCACTATGCTAAAGAATTTTGCCCGACAACAGAATAATCTACGCATGCAAAACCTGCCACGACTTAATTGTTGGCACATACAGGCACACATGCTTGGCTTCCTGAAAAAAAAGAGCAAAACTCCATTACATTTAATGCGTTTTCCTGTATTGGTACTATCAATAGTGGTGCCAACAACAATTCTATCAAGTAACTAATGTTGATGGTTCTGCATTAAAACAAATGGTTATAGAATCAGAACGCGACCACTTTGCTGAGATTCGAAATGGTGAGGTATAGCTGTCATATTGATACCTACTCTCTCACATCATTCCGACAATGCTTTGTCATACAAAGGAGCAGGATTACCAGATATCAGTGGAGATGTTTCATTGGCGTTGCTGTGCTCAATCTCACTCTGTGGATGCTCCTCACCACGGCAACAATGTTTTTTTAAGAATGGCCGGAATATGACATCGTTATAGACAAAAGTGCCTGTATTTCAAAATGCAAAACAAATGATTAGTCATAAAATATCACCTTCGTTGCCTTACTAGTAACTACAATGTAAATATCGTATAACTCTACAGTCATATGAGATAAACAGTACTTAGCAAATTAAATGTTTGTGGGTCAGTTTAATTTAGGGTGTTAGGGGATTGGTAATCATTATTTTTAAAGTGCAGGGGAGTCAGGAGTGGTGTGCACAGATAGCTATAGCGCGGCGATTTGGAGTCATCCCGGTTACAATTCGTCTCAAGAAGAACCGTCTCAATTTTATAGAAATCCGAAAAGCTTACCCATGATGAGTAGAATAAAGCCGATAATCTGTAAGTACTGGAAGCTCTGCCAGCCGAGGGCGAGAGACATGGCCCAGATGAGCAGCGTACGCAGGCTATCGAGAACCATGCGCGTCGTCGCGCTGAACTCCATCGTCACGCTGATCCCGGCAAAGTTGAAGAACGCAATGCTGAGCAGATTCACTGCAGCAGGCAAAGACGTCGCATCTCTGAACAACCCTGAGCTACAATCCTATGCGAGCAATGAGCAGTGTCACTACGTAAAGAAACTACATGTCTGCTCAAATGTGCGGCACCACACTGTGGATTTCTGCATCATATATAGTCAAACATGCATTAGCAAGCAACTTCATAGGGTGGATATCTGTCTATAAAGAAAAATTTTGTAGGTTCCCTCGAGTAGTGGTTTTACAGTGAAATCAGATCTATAGACAAATTAAGGTACCCGACTATAAAAGACACATGCTGTGTAATGTTTCCCTTGAGCGATTCTTACACAGTAAAACTCGCGTAAGTCGACATCGTCTAAGTCATCAATTTGCGTAAGTCGACATGGAAGTCAAAGTCCCGATTAGCTCTCATAGTAAATCTATTGGAATAGCCCCGCCTAAGTCGACATTTATAAGTTGTCATTATGTACAAGTCGACACCCTCAGACAGGTCCCATAAAATACAAACAACAGTAATCTGTAAGTCGACATCAGAAATGCCGATTGCACAGTGTACGGTCTAGGGAATACACGAGCTGGCTGTTGCAGACGGATTGTTTGAATCGCATTGTTTACTTGGACGCATTGTATTTATTTCCAGCTCGCAGCTCGCACCCCCCCAGATTCCTCACTGAATAGCAGGGTGCTACAAAAAAAAATTTCCACTTGCCCAAAAAACATAGAGATACATAAGATTTTTTTCTAATATGAATTTAAATGATAAATAACGTAAATGAAGATCCAACTAGTCAACATCCAGCATTTCACTTAACGGCATGGTAGAAAGTTGAACAGCTGATATGAGTTTGTATACAAATTATATCAAGACAAGAGCTAATAATACCTAGAGTGTACAACGGAAAAACGGGAAAATAGTGCTATTTCACAACATGATTATTCTACTTTGCCTGCGAGTCTAGAATAATTTCTTGGTACTGCATTAAGCAGAATTCTTTGCTCTCTAAAACAAGACCAACCGCTTGTCAATACGATACTCCTAGGCTGAGATATTGGTTCCTAAAACCTCCCCTCCCACAGGCATCACAGCGCCTCGAATCCACATCAGTCAGCAACCTACACGCCTCTAATATAAGGTTGCTTCGTGAAAGTTCGGTTTTTCCACCATAACTTTATGAATGAAGTCATTTCGTTTATCATAG